TTAAATGCACACAAAAATGTAAAATTTCAGTTTCCAAGGACTCTTAAGCTATGGTAGTTACCAAAATTTGTCGGCCATTTTGTCGCTAATGTTACCTCTGAAACCGGGTGACCCCGACCTTCTTCAATCGGAAATATCTCGACAACTATAATAAATGGCTTTTTTTTTTCATCGAAGACAAGACAAATGAACAAGCTTTAATGCGATACCAATAACTCCACATGCCCAAAAATTTACGAGCGCCTGATTTCAATTTAGTTTTAGTAAGGTATTACGGCGCTCGCAACTGCGTAAGGTCATATGAGCGCCAAGGAGTGAATGTCAACAGAGAAGTCTTTACAGGGAATCAGGGTTACTCTGCTCACCTCTCTAGCTTCAACAGCACAAAGTCTACTTCGACTATCAAGGCATCCCGGAAATAGCGGGTCACAAGAGTGTGACAAACATACAAAAGAAGTAGAGGAAAAATGACGATAGTAAGGATTATCGATTCCACCACGTCGTGACACAATTTTGACGTAAGGAGACACTAGAGGACATACCAATAACATCCATCTGTGTGTAGTAAAGAGAACCACATCGACACAAAAACCGTCGTTTAGCGATGGACGGGGGATACGGCGAGATAAACTGACGTACACACAATTAATGAGGGACAGGACAGATTCCGAAGTACGACTAACTCCAAATGACACCCTCCAGCCGCCAGCGACATTCACGCCAGTCACGCACGACAAATCATGCGACTTTACATACAGGAGGCGACAACTGACTGCAATATGTCGTAACGGTGGTCTTTGCTGAGTGCTGCCTGCGCTGGCATGGGATCTCCTGGCAGGTAGGATCATGATTTCAAAATTAGATGAGATGAGATGAGATGAGCGAAGAGATGAGATGAGATGAGACGAGGTGAGATAAATGAGATGAATGAGGTGAGATGAGATGAGCCGAGATGAGATAAGATGAGATAAATGAGATGAATGAAATGAAATGAAATTAAATGAGATGAGATGAAATGAGAAGAGATGAGATGAGATGAGATAAATGAGATAAGATGAGATGAGATGAGGTGAGATACGCTTCTATCGTATGTGCTTTTAAGCCTCCATCAACACAATTTAGAACATTAAGAAGGCGGTTTCCTAAAGTGCCAGTCAGGGCCAACCCTGGCTGAGAGGGATATGACATTATCCCAGCTAAAAGACTGAGATACTTGATAAATATACATGTCTCCCCACTCGAGAATCAAACCCGTGTCTCCAGCCTGAGACAGCGAAGTGCCTTACCGTACACCAGGGGCGTCCATGCTGACGATTTTAAGAACATTATACTCTCGTTACTTTCTTTTCCTCTTTTCTTTTCCTCTTTCTTTCGTAATTTAATTACATTTAATTTCCTCTTTTCCTTCATTGTTTCTATTCCTTTCTTTTAAATCTTTATTCTCCTATTTCCCTTAATTTTTTTCTCCTTTACTTTTCTTTCTTTTCCTCTTTTCCTATAATAGTCTTTTTCTTTT